TGAAAGTGAAACTACTTTGTTTGGTCTTCCAAAAGAGGACGATATCGCTTCGTCATGCCTGGAGCTGATCCGTGCTGCTTGCTGAGGAAATACTTCAACTTTGCGCTGTCGATCGCCGGATTGGCTTTCACCTGTCTCATGTGGTTGCCGCAGGCATCACAGTATGGTGAGGGGCGTAGCATTTCCGTCACACGCTTGAGGAATTCGGCCAATCACAACGCACTGGATAGCTGGCCAATCAGAGCACACCTTGCTTTTTCAGACCGATGAGCTTTGTAAAAATCGACGCGTTTCAGAAAGGCGAGGCATAGAGGAGAAACAATAATGTACAGTATGTGGAAAATAATGTGTTTTTTTAACCTTAAAACACATAAACACATTTCATTACACCAAATACACAAAATAATGTTCTTTTTAGCAGCATCATATGACCCCTTTAAAGCAAAAACAGAATGGCCTGATTTTTGATTTGTGATATTATGCTACATAAGACACCTACACAAAACAAAATCAGCAGACGGGCTGAATGAAAATGACAGCTTATGGAACAGCAGCGATACAGCATTTCCTTGGTTACCGCTGTAAACAAAGCAGCGCTGCGCTAATAAACACTACTTTAATATGCATTAAACTGAGGTAAGTGGTCTTAAGCATCTCTGGCCTCTGTTTGCAGACTTATAATATTTCCACAAAAAAATACATTTTGGGAAAAGATTGCAGTGCAATTCCAGAATGGAGATCGTCCAAAATAAAACTAAAAAAATTAATTTTTCCGATTTATGGCTGGTTGACCGGTGCATCTGTAGAACCTGAAACTTTCCCAGACTTCTGATTTAAAACAAGCAGGGGGTTCTTCGAGCTTTTGCGTGCCATCTGAACTCGCCGTTCTTGTTATGGGTTGGTGCGTAGATCGTCTCCTCTTCTGCTCTTTACTTCGCATTACTTCTGGATTGATCACCTGTGACTGACTGTATTCATCGTCTGACTGCATGAACCTTAAAATAAAGTGTGACGACCATATATATATATATATATATATATATATATATATCTAAATCCAAAACTAGTTTGTATAGTTATCACTCTGTAACCTAATGTCAGTTACTACATGTTTGTTGTCTGTAAAAAGTGCAAATACTTCTTTCATTCTTCACTTGATAAAATTGTCACATTTCCTATTAGTTTCCATTAGTTAACTAGTTAAGAACCACTGTTTAAACAACCATCATCATCTTTAATTGTTGCAGATGCTTTTTGACCACGTAACCCAGCAAACTAAACTAAAAATAGTTTTTATTGACTTGAGGTTGTCTTTTTAATTTCCTAAGCTAAACTTTTCTTTGAGTCAGTCTGTGTTTGTTAAATACATACTCTTTTGAAATCCCTGTCTTAATTCATTATATTTATCCAGAAGCCAAAAAACATCTTGGTTCAGTGATTAGTTTGTGGGGCGAGCAATCAGTTAAATTGCGGACAGCTCTGTGATTTTTACACTTTTTACTAACTTCCTCAATTTGGCTCGAATTGGAGAAGAAAGGCTTGTTTTAGGACTGGTTGACATTTTGGCATTTAAGTTTGACACTTTGTCTTGGAAACATATTTTGGGTGGGTCGTTTACAACTGAGACTAAACTGGTTATTAATGTCATTGTTAATTGGTGTTCACTGATGCATGACTGTGTGGTTTGGACAGGTGCGAGCCTTGACACCGTCAGCCGATACTGTAGACGTCACTCCTTGAGAAGAGGTTATTGGATATTTCTGTTTATATACATATGATTTGTTTAACTTGGTGTTTTTGCTAAAACTAAAATTGTCATAGTGACGGTAGTTTGTGAATAGTTTATGAATTTTAGTAAACTTGTTATAGTTGTTATTGTCTGTACAGTTTACTACAATATCAAAATTTGCTATATTTTACAATGGTTACTAAAATTGTGATAGTTGCTGTTGTTTACAATGTATATTAAAGCAGTTGTTTTTACAGTAGTTACTATACACTATATAATAGTGAAATGTACTGTAATATGTAACAAAAATGTCACTATGGAAACTGCAACAATGTAAGTAAACTTTAAGTAACTTAAAGCAAACTTTTATCGCAATTTTAGTAACTGTACATTGTTAAAATTATCTTAATTTTTGGAAACTACCATAACTGTGACACTTTTAGTAAACCTTAAATGAATGCAAAAACCTTTTAGTAATTATTATAGTAAATAATTATAGTAAACTTCATAAACTATTGCAACTTTGATTGTAACTATTGTAACTGACAATTTAGAAAATTCCAACTTTTGAAATTGTAGTAAAATGTGAGACTTTTGCAATGATTTTAGTCAAATTTCACTATGTAGTTTTCAAAGTTAAAATTGTGTCAGTTTCATTCATTAAGTTTGCACTTTTTTACCAAAAGTGTTCATTTCGATAGTTTATGAAGTTTATTAAGTTTACTAAAATTGCAGTAGTTGCCATAATTTACGAAAGTAAATCATTGTAGTATTGTAGTTTATTAAGTTAACTGAAATATATATGTGACCCTGGAGCACAAAACCAGTCTTAAGTCGCTGGGGTATATTTGTAGCAATAGCCAAAAATACATTGTATGTATCAAATTTATTGATTTTTCTTTTATGCCAAAAATCATAAGGGTATTAAGTAAAGATCATGTTCCATGAAGATATTTGGTAAATTTCCTACTATAAATATATCAAAACTTAATTTTTGATTAGTAACATGCATAACTAAGAATGTCATTTGGACAACTTTAAAGGCGATTTTCTCAATATTTAGATTTTTTTGCACTCTCAGACTCCAGATTTTCAAATAGTTGTATCTCGGCCAAATATTGTCCAATCCTAATAAACCATACATCAATGGAAAGCTTATTTATTCTTAAGCTTTCAGATGATGTATAAATCTCAATTTCGAAAAATTGACCATTATGACCCTTATGTTTTGTGGTCCAGGGTCATATATAGTTATGTGATTTTAAATTAACTGTGTAAAAAGGACATCACTCTCACAGTAGAAATTATGTATCCATATATCTGTTCAAATAATTTTCACTTCAGCAGAGGTCACATGGACAGTTTTGTGCGGTTAGCTGTCCCTCTCATTGGGTGGCTCAGAGATGTAAACATTTAGACAGAAGCTCTCGAGTGATGGCATTTGCCACATTTGCTGGTACATGAGGAAGAAACATAAAGACTGCGTGATGCAGAAACATCATCCAGACGGACGGTCCATCCTGACCTCTTCAGCAATGTTTTTCCAGTCCTAGACTTTTGGCCGGAGCATGACAGGGGGGATGCAATATTGCTTGTTTGGAACACGATCCATTGCGAGAGCTGAGGGAAATTAAAGTAGCTAAATCCAAATAAATCGATGTCCAAATGAGGTCAGCTTCTCGACACAAGTTCATGAGACAGGACCTAATGCTGGTGGGTTTGCTCTGCTTGGGGAGTCATGGGACGAGGAGGGAGTCCTTGGTTTTCTAATACATTAAAAGCCTGTCTTCAAGGCAGAGACCTTTTTCATCATTCCTCGTGTATGCCATTCTTTTTTTATTCTTATTGAATTACCAGTACAGTATGTACATCAATTAGACATCAAGTGAAAGAGTGGGTCAGTCGCACACACACACACACACAAACATATGTATGTTTGATCTTCCATCTAATTTACTCTGATGTTTAATATGTAGTTTTGTTTGAACTTACAGATAAAACGTACTAACATATTGGCTATACATACAGATGTAGCAATTTGATGCCATGCTAATGTTATGTAGCTATTATTACATGTGGTTGCTTAAGGTATTACTATTTTTAATATATTAATATATTTACATATATTTAATATGTTCAGTACAAACTCAGTCAACAGAATTTGTGGCATAATGTTACCACTGATATTAATTTCAGTGTATCCCCCATTTTCTTTCTTTTCTTTTAAAAAATTGAGAATTAATTTTACAGTGAGGCACTTACAGTGGAAGTAAAAGGGGATTTAAATTTATGGAGGGTTTAAATACAGAAATGTAAAGCTTATTATTGTATAAATAAAGTCTTTGTTAAAACTTGTGTAGTATTTAAGCTGTGAGCTTTTTCAAATTTATGGTCATTAGTTGTCCCAAGAATCAAGAATTTACTCCCCTTCATGTCGTTCCAAACCTGCAAACCTTCTTTCTTTTGTGGAATATATATTTATAAAAAAAGATGTGAGAAATATAAAAAGTCAAGGGTAATCAAAATGATTTAGTTATCAGCATTCTTCATCATATATATTTATTTGTGTTCTGCACAAGAAAGAAAGTCATACAGGTTTGGATCAACATGAGGGTGAGTAAATGATGACAAAATTTTTCTTTTTTGGGTGAACTATCCCTTTAAGGTTTTAGGTTTTACATACAGTGGCAACAAAGTTGTACAATTGGATATAAAGTGTAAACAGAAAATGTTAATAACAGATTTATTATTATGCTTTTTCACTTTTTCAGCTTTAGTTAGTGTGTAATATTGCTGTTTGATAATGAAAAAGATATGCAGTTACAAAGCTCAGAGTCCACTCCAAAGGGAGATTTTAACACTTTTAGACTCTGTAACACTTTAAGAACTACAACAAACGGCTCTTTCAGACTACAGTGCACTTCTTCTGGATATTGTGAAGTCACAGTGTCACTCATTAAAAAAGGGGGAGAGGCCTGGTTGAGCTGTGCTAGACACCATAGACTGTAAAAAAAAACCATACCACTCTGAAACGTCTAAATTCATTTCCGGAACACACTCTAAGCAGTTCGCCATTCACAATGCACTGAGCCGGCTAGCCAATCAGAGCACATTTCATATTTCAGAAGGAGGGGCTTCATCAAAAAGGAAATAAACAGGGGTGTGTTTCCCAAAAGCATCATTGGCTAGCTATGGTGGTAAGTTCCATTGAACTCTATTGGTAACGATAGAACTTGCAGCCATATTTGTTTTTGGGAAACGCACACCAGGGCATTTGAGACAGACTGGTGAGAGAGGTGCTGCAATTATGTAAAATATGTGAAAAATAATGAGTTTTTGGAACAATCAAGCATCAAAACCTATTCTAGTACAATCAAGACTTTCGTAAAAGGACATAACAACCCCTTTAATAAGAGATTGTTTTATTGTGGCTGTTCTTTTGAAACAGTGAGTATTTTAACAGTTACCAGCTGGCTCCATTCACTTCCTTTGTAAGCGTCTCACAAATGTTTGCTTTTAAAAAAATAAAATAATAATAATAATAATTTTTGTGGTAATCAACATTATGCTGCGAGTGCTGTACTTAGAGCTTAACTGGTACTAAACCTTGAATATTATTTAAAAATTTGACAAATACCTAATACTACAGACATAATACCTCGAATCACGTGGCTTGTTAAAGAACATATGATGATAAATTAAAAAATTCAATAGAAACTGAAGGAAGGATCTGAGCCATATCTAGCTACAGCTACTCCGAACTCCTTAGCAATTACATAGCAACAGCCTATAACACTCACATAACCCTGGCAACATGGTTTGCATGGGCAAGCGCCACTCACATTTTCTTAATATTTTACATGAACTCAATCTCACAATGAGTTTACATTTTTTCACATTTATATAAATTGTATAAGCAGCATCTTACATGCTTATAAACTATGCAAAGGAGCACAAAGAAACCCTTGTTTTGGTTATTTATTTTTTTGGCTCCAATATTCCAGTATGATTTTCCAGATTCGAAGATCTTTTGGCTCTTTTGACCCTTTTCAGCTGCCACGGTAAACAGAGCGCATGGATATCTTCAGATCGACAGCAAAACAGAAGGCCGATAGGAACTTTCCAACTACCAGTCTGACTGAATATATGCAAAACGTCTGCACCGTTCCCCTCAAGCCCCTGACGCAAAACACAAAGCTTCTGAGATAGTTGAATATGATTCAGATCAGGCACTGTGTCTTTCCTCTGCGTTGAAGACAATGTCAAACAAAGCCTGGCTGCCTGCCTTTGGCCAGACTCAGCAGTCCAAACTGCTTGTGATATTTTTCAGGAGGTGTTAAATGCCCCATCTGGGGAATAAGAAAATATTTGGCATTCTTTCATATAGGCCTGCCATCGAAAATGTCTGCCGACTGACGACAAGTCCCATCGGGGGGAAAAAAAAGAGTTTGGATTACAAAATAAACAACAACAAAAACCCGACAGTAAGTCATAGTGGAGGCTATCAATGGGTCATAGATTTTGATTATATTGCATTAGTTTGAAGTTTTAAACTGGCTTAAAAAAAGTAAAAGTACTAGTATAATAAGTATAACACTTCAAGATGTAACTTTCCTGGTAAAAGCAAGAGCAGATAAAATGCAAATGTGGACCATGTTAATGTAAGATTATGCGTTATGAACATAATCGCATATTAATGCACTGTGCTAATACTTATGGTTTTCACATTGTAGATAATAAAATGGGCGAAAAAAATTTGTGGATCATAGTTTGACCGTTTTGGTTGCACTTTATTTTGATAGTCCAATTTAGACATTCTACTAAGTAACTTTGCAAGTACATGTCAACTACCTGGTTGAGCTGTGCTAGACACCATAGACTGTAAAAAAAAACCATACCACTCTGAAACGTCTAAATTCATTTCCGGAACACACTCTAAGCAGTTCGCCATTCACAATGCACTGAGCCGGCTAGCCAATCAGAGCACATTTCATATTTCAGAAGGAGGGGCTTCATCAAAAAGGAAATAAACAGGGGTGTGTTTCCCAAAAGCATCATTGGCTAGCTATGGTGGTAAGTTCCATTGAACTCTATTGGTAACGATAGAACTTGCAGCCATATTTGTTTTTGGGAAACGCACACCAGGGCATTTGAGACAGACTGGTGAGAGAGGTGCTGCAATTATGTAAAATATGTGAAAAATAATGAGTTTTTGGAACAATCAAGCATCAAAACCTATTCTAGTACAATCAAGACTTTCGTAAAAGGACATAACAACCCCTTTAATAAGAGATTGTTTTATTGTGGCTGTTCTTTTGAAACAGTGAGTATTTTAACAGTTACCAGCTGGCTCCATTCACTTCCTTTGTAAGCGTCTCACAAATGTTTGCTTTTAAAAAAATAAAATAATAATAATAATAATTTTTGTGGTAATCAACATTATGCTGCGAGTGCTGTACTTAGAGCTTAACTGGTACTAAACCTTGAATATTATTTAAAAATTTGACAAATACCTAATACTACAGACATAATACCTCGAATCACGTGGCTTGTTAAAGAACATATGATGATAAATTAAAAAATTCAATAGAAACTGAAGGAAGGATCTGAGCCATATCTAGCTACAGCTACTCCGAACTCCTTAGCAATTACATAGCAACAGCCTATAACACTCACATAACCCTGGCAACATGGTTTGCATGGGCAAGCGCCACTCACATTTTCTTAATATTTTACATGAACTCAATCTCACAATGAGTTTACATTTTTTCACATTTATATAAATTGTATAAGCAGCATCTTACATGCTTATAAACTATGCAAAGGAGCACAAAGAAACCCTTGTTTTGGTTATTTATTTTTTTGGCTCCAATATTCCAGTATGATTTTCCAGATTCGAAGATCTTTTGGCTCTTTTGACCCTTTTCAGCTGCCACGGTAAACAGAGCGCATGGATATCTTCAGATCGACAGCAAAACAGAAGGCCGATAGGAACTTTCCAACTACCAGTCTGACTGAATATATGCAAAACGTCTGCACCGTTCCCCTCAAGCCCCTGACGCAAAACACAAAGCTTCTGAGATAGTTGAATATGATTCAGATCAGGCACTGTGTCTTTCCTCTGCGTTGAAGACAATGTCAAACAAAGCCTGGCTGCCTGCCTTTGGCCAGACTCAGCAGTCCAAACTGCTTGTGATATTTTTCAGGAGGTGTTAAATGCCCCATTTGGGGAATAAGAAAATATTTGGCATTCTTTCATATAGGCCTGCCATCGAAAATGTCTGCCGACTGACGACAAGTCCCATCGGGGGGGAAAAAAAGAGTTTGGATTACAAAATAAACAACAACAAAAACCCGACAGTAAGTCATAGTGGAGGCTATCAATGGGTCATAGATTTTGATTATATTGCATTAGTTTGAAGTTTTAAACTGGCTTAAAAAAAGTAAAAGTACTAGTATAATAAGTATAACACTTCAAGATGTAACTTTCCTGGTAAAAGCAAGAGCAGATAAAATGCAAATGTGGACCATGTTAATGTAAGATTATGCGTTATGAACATAATCGCATATTAATGCACTGTGCTAATACTTATGGTTTTCACATTGTAGATAATAAAATGGGCGAAAAAAATTTGTGGATCATAGTTTGACCGTTTTGGTTGCACTTTATTTTGATAGTCCAATTTAGACATTCTACTAAGTAACTTTGCAAGTACATGTCAACTAACTCTCATTAATTTACAACTACATGTCAACTAACTCTCATTAGACTATTAGTAGATTGTTAGGTTAGGGTTAGTAGAATAAGTTGACATGTAGTTGCGAAGTTAGCAGAATGGCTAAAGTGGACTATCAAATGAAAGTGTTACCCTCTTTTGACTCCAGCCATTAAGCATCCACCCAGAAAACGTTAGCAACCCCAGTCAAACTAGCTGGCTAGCGAGTTTTGCACAGGCAAACGCCATTCACGTTTTCTTCATAAGTTACCGTATGGAGTCCTGATGAATTTCTGTCATATGAAAAACTCACTTTGGATTTCTTTTCTCTTTTAGGTATGACATCTGCACCTATAAGAACAAACCCTGCGGTACTCTCGGTAAGTACCTGAAATGTATCCTAAGACAAAATACACTTTAATTTAAAGGGATAGGTCCCCCCAAAATGAAAATTCTGTCATCATTTACTCACCCCCACCCAAACCCATAATAAATTTGTTCATGTTTGGAAGACAAATTAAGATATTTGATATCAAAATCTGAGAAATATTTGTCCCACCATTGAAAATGTTGATGATTCAAAACATTCATAAAGAGATTGTAAAAATAAAACTATATGAATCGAGCGACTCCAAGTCATCCAAGTCATCTATATGAATCGAATTAATCCAAGTCCTCTAAAGAGACATGACCACTTTATGATGAACATATTTAATTTAGGCTTTATTCACATGTAAGAAGAGCTTGACATGCGAGAACAAACTTCACGGCTTCATTGGTGAAGCTCAAACGTGCTGAGAATGAACCTCATAGGTTCTCGCACATTAAACAAGTATGCTTGAGCTTCTGTTTATGTTCGCTGACCAATGTTTATATGTGAATAAAAGCCTACATTAAATCTGTTCATCATATAACGCGATCGTGACATTTCGGAAGACTCAATTCAAATGGATCTCTTTCTTGATCGCTTTACAAACTTTGAGAATTTTGGGTGAACAGACTTTCAGTAGAGTATAAAAATATCTTCATTTGTGTTCTGAAAATTAATGCATTTCTTAGGGGTTTGGAACGACATGAGGCTGAGCAAATGATGGCAGAATTTTCATTTTGGCGTGAACTAACCCTTTAAATCAATGCCACTAAACGGTAAATGCTACATGCTTCATTTACTTGTGTACCAAATAATTTGGCGAGATTATTAAGAAAGACTTCGCTGCCCTGTCTTTATAGAGCCGTTTGGCTCACGTTGAGCTCAAACATGGCTCAAAGCCTCCTGCCTCTACAGACGCCGCTGTCTCTTGTTTCATTTCCAAACATTCCCACTTCTGTCTGCTATGGGACGGAGGTGTTTACCCCTCCCCTATGCAAGCCAAAAAAAAGAAAAGGAGTGAAGAAAATTTGACTATACAATATATAACAGAGAACAACAGATAAAAGAAGAATTAATACGTTTAAAGAAGTCGGGATAACTGAGCAGAAAGCAAACACTGGTGTTTTGTCCCCCTTAAATGGTCTGCAGGCAGTGTCAAAGCCTTGTCTTATCTGAACCAGCCCCCTCCAGGGCTCAACCGTATATCTTAGAAGTAATATTGTGACTCCAGGGGTGGTTTGACAGATTGACCGCATTCGTCACATTCCCCGGGTCCCTTTAATTGCCCTGGCATCTGCTCTGCTTCCTTGCTGCCCCCCTCCTCCTCTTTCTCCACCTCCATCTCCACTTCAACACCCCCCACTCACCCAGAGGGATCATCGTGATCTCGGGTCAATGTGTTGCCCTCTGGGGGTCACCGGGTAATCGCGGAGAGGGGATAATACCAATGCGACCCATGGCTTAGGAAAACACGCCCCACCAATGAGCTTTCGACTCAGCCTCTTCTCACTAGCCCTCTTCCATCCTGTATCGTTTTCCTTTTTTACCCTTCTTGCCTCCAGTTGGTGTCTTATTAGCCTTTGATTTGTATGTCCGCTCTTGTTTGGGCCTCTGGATTTAGGAAGATAAAGAGGCCAGAAGTGCTTTGTTGGAGCGATGGTTCCCAAGCAACCACACAAGCTTCTCTCTGTATTCCATATTCTTGTGCAGTATCTTTAATAATATTTTGCCCCCAGGGAGGTCAGGTTTATACCTTTCCAATACTCTTTTGTTATATTGTCAACTTTAAAGCAGTAGTTCAGCCTTATGGAATTCCAAATCTGTATTACTATCATTTTTCCCATGGATCACGGGTCAGTGATGTGGTGCTATTTATTTGTTGTTTGTTTGTTTGTTCTGTCTAGTAATTTGTTCCGAAATGCAATTAATACATCTCTTTAATAATGAGCATGATTTTGATTTCTGAATTAAAATTATTTTTACATTTCTGGAGAGGCATAGTCGAAAAAGTCATGGTGATATTTCTAATATTAAAATGAAGGGGGGGGGGGGGGGGGGCCCCTTTAAAAAAAT